TGTCTCATTACTGGACTGGACGGATGACCAAGTCTTTTGTGCCATACATCAACACTAGGAGACTCTAGACTCGAATAGACAACAGAATTAGAAAAAGATTTTTGACTGGTAGATGAAATGTTGCAGTAGTGTTTATTTGGGAAGCTTGATTTATGGTGCATTTGCTTGATGCTTTGATGAGGGAACTCCAGTCGATACAGCCCATCTTTAAGCCTCCCTTGCAGCATCACCTCCTTCGTTGACAAATCCTTAACAAAACAACAAGAGGGGTGAAATTCCATGAAGGCATTATTATCAGAAGTAAGCTGTGATACACTGATTAGATTCTTTTTAATCTCAGGTACGTGTAGCAATTTGTTTAGCACCAATGTTTTATCATTCAAGGTAGGAATATGTGTTGAACCAAAATGTGAAATGCTTAACTTACTTCCATTTCCCACTACAACTATCTCCTCACCAGTGTATTCGCTTGCAGTGGCAATGTTGCCTTTTTCTGATGTAATGTGGTTGCTGGCACCCGGATCTGTGATCCAGGCTGGGTCACCAACTGTGTTAGGAGAGGCTATGAATGCTGCAGATGGTGGATTGATCCTTTGATTTGGTGAGGTTCCAGAGTACCTTTCATCATACTTGAAATGGCAGATGTTTGCCTTGTGACCTATTTTTCCACAGACTTGGCAAATAGGTCTATCTCCTCCAAAGGAGTTTGCTCCTCTTCCTCTACCTCTTCTTCCACTTCTGTAGTGGTTAAAATTGGCGAATCTTCCTCCTGAACTTGGCCTATTGGACCTGAAGTTGTTATGACCAAAACTAGATCTCTGAGAGAGATTAGCTGAAGTTTGATCAATATTTAATCCTGTCATCTCGTTTCTGATTGAATTGAGATGCTCCAGCCTACTTTCGTAGGTCATTAATGTGGATTGAAGCTCTCTCCAAGAGATGTTATCTCTGCTATTTAGTTGGACAACGATTGGTGTATAGTCTTCATCCAGTCCAGCCAATACTTGGGTGATCAGTTCTGTGAGAGTGGTAGCTTTTCCAGCAATCTCTAAATTATCAGATAGTTGTTTCACCTTGTTGAGGTATTGATCTATGCTCATACTTCCTTTTCTGCATTTTTGAAGTTCACCAGTGAGGAATATTATTCTTGATCGATTTTGAACTCCATAGCTTTCTTCAATAGCAGTCCACAGTTCTCTTGAGTTGGCTGCACTCATCACTCTCATTGCTATGTCTGAAGTTATTGAGGAATAAAGCCATCCCATCAACAGCTGATCTGTTGACATCCATTGGCAGAACTCAGGATTTTTTACCATTTCAATGCTGGTGCCTGTTTCGCCAGTGACCTGAATGCCTGTGAATTCTTGAGGACACCTCTTTGTCCCAAGGATATAACCTTCGAGGTTGTGTTCTCTGATGATTGGTAGAATCATATTCTTCCATAGTAGGTAGTTGTTCTTATCCAACTTTACAGACATGGTTTGAGTCAGATTGACACCAAATGGTGAGAGCTGATTACTTCCGGCCAATGGTGCAGCTGTGCTGCTGGAGAGGGAAGCAGGAGCTGTAGCTGGGTTGGCATTTTGAGGTGTAGAACTGGCGTCTGCCATTTCACTCTGATACCAAGTAAAAGTTACTCAGCTCAAGATGAAATTTACTCAATCGTGAGCTTCATTGATAGAGATTAATCTTTATATAATACAAGGCTATTGATACAAAGAAGGATCTAGAATAAATCACAGCTCTTAGATTGTTCCTTAAATCAAGGATCATGTTGGAATCTTTAAATAACAAAATGTGGTCCAGCAACAGCAAGGCAGAAACGGCTTGACAGCAAGGCTAATGGTTTGTTAAATTGGATTGCTGATGTGGAAAGGGTATGAGCTGATATTAATTCTTAACACTCTTTCAAACTTATTTTGCCTGCTTACCAAATGCTTAAAATAGTCAATAACATTTGCATTTAGGCTATGTTTGATATGCTTAGTTTTCTAGGGAAGATTTCATTTTCCAACTTTATGGCTGTTTGGTATGCTTAGTTTTCTAGAGAATTTGTTTTCCAAGTGACCACTTCACGCGCCTCTTTACTTGCTTTTTAAGGAATATGTTTTCCTTTGCTTTTGGTGAGAATATGTTTTCCATCTTTTTTTTTTTTTNTGAAATGATTTTTCTTCAAGAAGAAGATCAGGATGAGACGGTCTTGGATAAAAAGTTGGAAGTTTTGATTTTTAAAATTTAATTTATTGACTTGAAATGGTTGTTCTTCAATAAATTGATTTTCAAGATTTTCAAAATCAATTGTGTATATATATATATATCGATTTTTCAAGACGAAGATTTTTATTTTTTATTTTTTTTGAGCCTGAGTTTGAAAACATTAGTACACAGAAGAATATTGTAATGTGAAAACCATTTAGATTTTAGCATATATTGTGCATGAATTCCGCGTTCATATGGAAGAAACAAATTTGATGGGGGCAATTATTCGAGATAGCGAGTGGACAACTCAAGTCTACAGACTCGACCTATGCAGTTGCAATCGAATATACTTTGCCCTTCATTCACACGCAAAAGTGTACCCTACTAAATGAATTAATGTATGAACAAAAGATAATTCCTTGCATTTCTTGAGTTTATTACACGTTAATATTAATAGATAAAATCTCATATCGAATAAAGATGAAAACGTAGAATAATTTATAAGAGTTTTAGATACTCCTCTTAATAAGGTTGACATTTTAAGATGGAACTTAAAATTTTAACATGGTATCAGAGTCCGTTAAACTCTAACGAGCAATTTGATCCGATTAAAACTCCAAAAAGTGAGCATACAGATTTCAAGATTGGTGTGCTCAAACGAGCCACCATTTTGCGGAGACATGTTAATGGATAGAATCCCACATCGAATAAAGATGTAAACATAAACCAACTTATAAAGGATTGAGTTACTTCTCTTAATAAGGTTGACCTTTTAAGGTGGAACCCCAATTCTTAACACAATTTAACCTAGAAATTGGGGTACCAATTTGAAATCTCTATGTTCAAGACGAAACTAAAATTTTTTAAATTGTATGTTCAACTCTATTAGTGGTGTCAGGTGTGTATCAAATACTTTAGTACAATATCTACAAAAAAAAAAGGTGGAAACTCTGTAGTTTATTATAAAGATAGAGACAAGAAGCAAAATTGAATAAACACGATGGGTCAACAAACATCCCAATTAATATCAACCTAATACTCCACCAACCCAATATTTCAATCAAATTTCTATACATTATTTGTATGTATTAAGACATACTGAAAAACTGGCTGACTTTTTGTAGAAATCAGGACATGTTTAAGGTTGAAACAAAGGATGCAACAAACAGAAGAAAAAACATCAGTGGAGCAGCCAAGTTGGAGGAAGTTGCTTCTGAAGAATTATTTCCTGTTGATGGCACATTTTTTGATCCACCATCTGCAGCATTATACAAGCAATAAAAATGAATATTTAAATATTTAAATTAATATAATTATAAAATAATTATTAGACACTAAATCATGTACCAGAAGGATTAGTGTTGGGAGAATTTGGTGTACTGGGAGATCCTGATGGCGAACCAGCTGCATAAATGAGAGAATTATTGTTAAGAATTAAGCCATTATCCCTTCTTACGAAGGCAATAACAAATATAACGAAAATAAAAAAACCAACATAGATTTATAGTGATTTTACAAACTTGGGAAAGATTGTGTCGAGGGATAAGTATAGAGCATGGTTAGGCCCCACACAGATCAATTTATAACATAAATGGAATAAGAAACTTTTGATGAGGAATATTACCATTGCATTGGCTGAAAGGGGGAGTTTGGACATTACAGGCTTTAGGCAGTGCTAGAGCCTGTGTCTGGTTTATCTCAAGGCCGAGGGAGGAGCCACCACCATTAAGTACTTGACACAAGCATTCAGGTTGCGATCGGACTATGGTCCCAAGCTGTGTGCAGCATCCAGGCGACGGACTCGATGAGTTCCCGGTGACGTAATTTAGGCACGGAGACATACTAATAATCGAATTCGTGCAGTCCCTTGACTGTGCATTGATGCCACCCCAAAACGTGGCTACAAGAATCAGGACTATGCCCATTGCAACTTTTTGAGGTGCCATTGCATACTCTATGGAATTAATTGTTGTAGGAAATAGTGAATACAGAAAAGTAGGTGCTTAATGGAGAGACCTATTGTGCGTTGCTTTATAAAGGGGGCATGATGGAGGAGTGGGAGTAGGTAGGGGTGTGGGGTGTGTGGTTTTCCAAATTCTTCTCTCTTAAGTCTTGAGTTAGTTTATTGGATTTATTTAAAGGTTTTCAGACATAAGCTTTGGATTTTAAGACAAGTGGAAAAGGTTAGTTATGCTGATGTCCAACTTTATATGTATAACTTAAATGGTTTGTGGTAAGTCGCAACTTAATCTTGAGGTTGTTAAAAGAGGAAGATTTTTTAAGATTTTTTCACTTTATTCTAAAGAATAAGTGTATTACTTGCCCACGCCTCCACCTTTTAACTGGGGCATTCTTATTGTTTTTTTCCTTTTCTAAAAATTGGTCAAAGTTGCAGGTTCTTTTAGTTCCATCGTACCATTAAGCCAAGTGGCTTTCTTTCCTAATGACTTTGTTTACTTTTCTCTAGCTTTCAACTAATGGTTTGCTTCATCCACATGTTTTTGTAAGCGATGTTTGTTGGTGGTGAGAATTTGCGACCTCTTTTTTAGAAAATTTGTATCCCATTTTAAAGGTCTCAGCCTTGAATCATAATTATTGAAATTGTTGAAATGTGACCCAAATTCTATTGATTATTTGTGTTTTGGTTGAAAAAGACTTTAAAAAGTCAAATTATAGACCAGGGAGAAAATCTCGAAGCATTTACACTCGCTGATTGCCTCATTTCCGCTCGAGTGCTCAAAGCAAGGAAGTTGGCGCTCGTTTAGCGTTGCCTGCCGCTCGAGCGACGGAGTAGCCACCCGCTTGGCACATGCCTGGTGCTAGAGTGGCAAGTCGTCTGGTCCAGACCCGTTTCACATTTTAATGCATTTTTAGCACTCTATTCCTTATATAACTCTATGTTTAGGGTTTATATACAGCAACCAAGACTTGTAAACAAAATAAAACATTGATAGAGCCTTGATCATTGAGATTTTGTATAAACAACATTCGTTATTGATTATAGTGAAATACTCATCATCTGCCCATGGTTTTTCCTTTCTTGGGTTTCCACATAAAATTTGTTTGTTCTTGTCTTGTTTGTTTTACTTCGTCTTACCAATTATCTTCTACTTATTTCACAACAAATTGGTACCAGAGCATGATTGATATTCTGCATGGCAATGATGAAACATGATATCTCGTTATTGGATCGCAATACAATTTTTTCTCTATGGCACGTGAAGATGAATGATGTTCTTGCACAGATTAATTTAGATGATATCTTGTTAGATTTTGATAAAATGCCCTCAACTGGACTCATGATGAGAAGCCGCTTAGAGACCAGAAAGCCATGTTACAAATCTATCTCCATCAATCAACTCACATCTATATTTAAAAAAAAATTAGCAGATTTAGAAACACTGTAAGTTAAGTATGATAAGGAGGATCTTACGTTGATGTTGTTGATGTCGCCTTCATATTCGATGTTTAGAGATAATATTCTTACAGTCCCGATACTCTCACTGTAGATGAGTTCTATGATGGTTTATTTGTCAAAGGAGAAGATAAAGCATCTTGTAGTTGGATCTGGGAGTCAGACTAAGGACCTGGTTGTTCATGGGAGGAACCAAGATAGGAATTGGGGTGGAAATATGATGGGCAGATAGAAGTCTGGACATTTAGAGAAGGTATGTCACTTTTGTAAAAATAGGAGACACATTAGAGCTGGTTGCTACAAATTGAAAAATAGAAATATAATGGTTGTTGCTACTACATATAATGGAAAGCAATGAGAAATTGTTGTTGTAGAAATAAGCAAAGTAAAGGAGAACTTCTTGTGATTTCTAACAATGATTCCATACCTTGTGAGGATTTGGTTGTTGACTCAGTTTGTACGTTTCATATATGCCCAGAAAGGGTTGGTTTACAACATTTGAAGGAGTTTAGCAAGGTTCTGTGCTTATGGAAAACAATGCACCTTGTATAATAGTTGGAATTGTCACAGTCAGAATCAGAATTTTTGATAGAGCTATCAGAACTCTTACTGATATAAGACACGTTCTAGAACTAAAGAGTAATCTCATATCTTTCAGTACCCTTAATTCGAAGGGGTATAGATACACTGTTAAATGTGGAGTTTTGAAGGTGAGCAGATGTGCTCTTATTGTCATGAAGGAACATAAAAGCTTCGTGCAGTTTTACATTTTGTAGGGTTCCACATTTATAGGGGATACATCAATCACTCATTCTCCCTTGGCAGATTTAGAAGTTACAGAACTTTGGCATATGCGGTTTAGGCATATAAGTGAAAATATTATGGCATAATTGAGCAGAAAAGGACTTCATAATGGGCAGAAGACCAGTAAATTGAAGTTCTATAAGCAATGTATCTTTGCAAAACAAAAAGGGTCATATTCGCCAAATAGAGACACAACACAAAGGGAATACCTGAGTATATCTATTCAAATATTTGGGGACTGGCAAATGTGTGTTTTTAATGAGGTGTTTATTACTTGTTGACAGTAATTAATGATTTTTCCAGAAGAGTGATGTGTTTGCAACATTTAAAGAGTGAAAAACAATGATTGAAAAGTATACTAGAAAGTAGGTTGGAGTTTTGTTAAGATGATTTCAATAGTTTTTGCAAGTCAAAATGGATCTTGAGACACTTTAATATGCCTGAAACTCCGAATCAAAATAGTATGACAAAATGGATGAATAGAACCTTAATGGGAAATGATCATTGTATGCTTTCAAATGCTAGTTTGCTTAAGACTTTTTTGGCTGAAGTTATTACTACAGCTTGTTTTCTCCTTAATCGTTCACCCTCAATTACCATTGAAAAAAAAAACATGAGAAGAGTTATGGTCTGATAATCCTTCTAGTTATTTCGATTTAAAAATATTTGGATGCGTCCCTTAGGCTCATGTGAATAATGGAAAGTTGAAGCCAATGTCTAGAAAGTACATTTTTCTTAATTATAAATTAGGTGTAAAGGGATATAAATTGTAGTGTCCAAAAACAGGAAATGTGGTGGTTAGTAGAAATGTAGTGTTTCATGAACTTGCAATGGTTCAAAATTTACATCATAGAGATTCAGATAAAACTGAACGACAGAATCAAAATACTCAGGTGGAGTTGGAAATTAGTTCAAAAGAGAAATCACAAGATTCAGATCAATCTAGTTTAGAGCTGGAAGAGAACACTTTTCTTGCTTTGGCTCCACCACCACTAGCACCACAGTATTCGATAGCAAACGATAGACTTCACAGAAGTATGGAGAGGTAGACTTGGTAGTTTATGCATTGGTTGTGGCTGACAATATTGATTATATAGAAGAGCCTGTTATATATACAGAAGTAGTCAGTTACAGTGATTTTAAAAGATGGTTGATTGCTATGCAAAAAGAGATGGAGTCACATAATAAAAATAGCACGGAGGTCTTGATGAAATTATGTAAGGAGAAGAAGGTTGTTCGTTGCAAGTGGGTGTTCAAAAGAAATAAAGGTACATTAGGAGTTGAAGATGCCAGATATAATGCCAGATTGGGAGCTAAAGGTTACGGTCAAATTTCAGATGTTGACTTTACAAATGCGTTCTCACCAGTTATAAAGCATAGCTCAATCCAATCTTTGCTTGGGGTTGTAGCTAAAGATGACATGAAACTTGAGCAGATGGATGTCAAGACAATATTCTTGCATGGAAAACTTGAGTAGATCATTTTAATGCAACAACAGAGGGTTTCATAGTTATTGGAAAAGATAACTATGTGTGCTTGTTGAAAAAGTCTTTGTATAGACTGAAGTAGTTACCAAGACAGTGGTATAAGATGTTTGATTCATTCATGACTATTTATAATTTCATCAGAAGAAGTTATAATAGTTGTGTATTTCATAAAGTGTGATAATGGGTCAGTTATATATCTAATATTATATGTTGATAACATCCTGATAGCTGTTAAAGATAAAGTATGGGTTAGAAAGGTGAAAGTTCAGTTCATTAAAGAGTTTGAGATTAAAAATTTGGGTGCAGTTGGGAAGACTCTTGGTATGGGAATCTTGAGGGATAGATAGCGAATTGTATTTGAGTCAGAAAGGGGTACATTGAGAAGGTTCTCTTCATGTTGAATATGCCGAATGCAAAAGTCTATCAATACTCCTTTGGCTGCCCACTTTAAATTATTATCTGACTTGTGTCCACAGTCAAATGAAGATATTGATTACATGTCTCGAGTTCCTTATTCAAGTGCAATGGAATCGTTTATGTATGCTATGGTCTGTACATGCCCAGATCTAGCATATGTAGTTAGTAAATACATAGCAAATCCTAGCAAGGAACATTTGAAAGTAGTAAAGTGGATATTCAAATACTAGAGTGGCTCTACAAATGCTTATTTACATTCTGGTAAGAATACAAATAGAATCATTAGATATGTGGATTCAGATTATGCATGTGATCTTGATAAGATGTGATCACTCATAGGATATGTGTTTACCCTTTGAGGCTACACTGTTAGTTGGAAAACTACTTTGCAGAATACAATACCATTGTCTACAACATGGCCGAGTACATGGTTATTACAGATGCATGTAAAAAGGTTGTGTGGTTGAGGGATTTGGTTAGTGAAATTAGTAAAGATTTGCAGATTTCAACAATTTGTTTTAATAGTCAGAGTGCTATCTTTCTGACAAAAGATCAGATGTTCCACCAGAGGATAAAGCACATTATGTGAGGTATTACTTTGTGTATCAAGTAATTGCTTGTGATGATATGGTAGTGAGTAAAGTTGATACCAAGAAGAATTCCGCTAATATAATGACAAAATCACTTCCCATTGCTAAGTTTGAGCATTGCTTGGACTTGTTGGTATTTGTCATTGATTTTAGCACGTTGGGGCTTGTGTGGAGTAGTTATCTGGTGATTTGCTGAATGGCGTGGTTTAATTCTTTGCATTGAAATTTGGTTC